CTGTATATTATTTCTCATAATCTATATTGAACAAGAAGATACAAATATATAGAATAAAGAAATAGATGTTGTACAATTAACTACAATAACGTCTAAATTCGTACACTTATGCATGAAGGAGAGAGAGGAGCCTCTGCATTAACTATGACAGGCTGGTAATAGAACGATCATTCAGAACACGTTCTGAATGCATTGTAAATGTTCTGAATGCAGAACGGGTTCGGAATTCAGGCAAGACCTTCATTCCAACAAATACCTAGTAGATCTTAAAAAAAAAAAAAAAAAGCAAATGACCATGAAACACAACCACATAAATTCTTAATTTAAAAATTCTCTAATACTAATATAATTTAGTGTAACCTTCTCATCACATTCCATAATAATCATAATAAACAAGTCACATTACATAATAAACATAATAATCAGATGATTGACTAAATTTCAGAAATCATTTAATCTAAAAAAAATTGAAGAAATAACAAAGAATGCATAAAAAGACAGAGACAAATGTCCATAAATAATTTTAACACATAAATAATCAATATTACAATTTGAGGGATATATTCTATTAAAAGAACATTTCAATAAAAATTATTGGGCCCTTTTTACCGCACCATACGAAAAGCCTGCCCAACGGCTCCTTAGCTAACTATTCTCGAGAAAATGACGAGTTTTCAAGTCGAAGGTGTGCTGCGATAGCACACCTGCTCCCGCCAGGCACCAAATCGATCAACAAGTAAAAAAAAGGAGTATAAAGAGGAAGCCAGAGGAGGTCCAAGAGAGGGACGAGGACATAGGGAGGAAAAGAAAAACCAAAAGAGAGAAAGAGATGATATTGAAGAAGAGGAGGGAACCCATGTGGCTGCCTATCCTCGGTGAGGCTCACTACATCGACCCGACCTTATATCCTCTGCTTACATATTTTCTTAACTCAGACTTTAATTTCACCCCAAGGCCGCATACTGCTCATCCCCCGCCATATAAAACTTGGAGATTCAACTCCACTGCCCGAACGATCGTACACTACTGTAAACAATTCATAATTTTTGTTCCAACAGAAATTAACCTTATTTTATGTGTTATATATTTATATTACTGCAAAATTTTATCGAAGTTCATTAAGGGAGATGTATTACATTAGGAATTTTAGAAGATTTTGTGGATTCTTTATAATTTCCTCTTATTTAACTAATCTATACTATTTTTTGAGAAGATTCTTAAGTTAAAAAATCTGATGTGTGAAGAGGAGAAAAAAAGTTAGTGTATTCTATTGCTAAATTGGAAAATGTGACATAAAAAATTTCTAAAAATAAATGAAATGTTTTAATTGATTGAGTTAAAACTAAATAAATATCATTTTCAAATAAAAATATTATATCATATATGAATGCATTCATTATATAACAATAATTCAAAATTATAAATGGAATAGAAAAATAAATCATAATCATCGTCTTAGAAATTTTTTTTAATAATATTGTATCTATGAATAAGAAGTAGAAGAAAAAGTAAAACTGAATCTCTACGGTTTTGCTTTTCTGTAAAAATCTCGGGCTATATCTCTAGTTTAAATCATCTTCAACGCACCTTTATTTTAAATCTTCCAATTTAGAGGAAAATAGAGATGTTATTTTTCCCTCTATAATTGGAAAAAAAGTAACAATATTTTTTTCTCTATAAAAAAATAGGTTAAAGAGAAATCCACCTATATTTTAAAGGAAAAAATAAAAAAATATATTGAAGATGATCCTAATGTTTAATATATTAGTCAAGATAAATAAAAAAGAAATATGAGTCAAAGAAGACGGAAAAATAAAAAAGATTAATTTTGATTAGGTTTATATATTTATTTAAATATAATCAAAATTAATCCTTTTGGAGCCGGCTTGCATCCTCATAATCCAACATTTGTTGGTAGATTAAGGCCGGGGGTGTTGGAGGAACCTGGCTGCTGGTTCCCCGGGAATTCTCGTCATGGGCGGTTGCTTGGGGCGGGCTTGGCGTATAGCTTCCATCGATTGACATTTCCGTTTGTTCTTCCCCTCCTCTTTAGCTGCCATCATTACGGTCTATCTTAGTAGATGTAGAATATTTAATACTCTTCAGGTTCCCGTGATATCTGTTGTCTATACGTTGGGCTTAATAGGTTAATTCATGGCCTCACATATACATTTTTTTTTGAGATGTAAGAATTTTTTTTTTAATAAAAATGAGTAAAAGTATAAGAAAGACAAAGTCATAAAATTCCTATTCTCTCGCTTTTTTAGTGTTCTATTTTCATTTTCTATAATTAACCTAAATTTATTTCTATATAATAATAGAATAATCAAATACATAAATTATTTCATCTAGACAAAAAAGAGCAAACAGAAAAACAAAAAAAATGTCCAAGAGTATAAATGGTGTTGGTATTACTCTTTTCTTGATCTTTTTGTTCATCTCAATAGGTAATTTACATTATAATATATAGTTCTCATCAAGCTTTGATTATTGTGTATATTAAAAAATAATTTGCTAATCTTTAGCAACTTAGAATGAAAAAATATTTATTATCAGTTAAAAACAAGCATAAACGAAAAATAAATTATAATATACTTTAAAGTTTGCATTGATATTTTGTATAAATATTTATCAAAAACACTTAAAAATATTTTTTTAAATATGTAAAAAAAATCATTTATAATACAAAATGTTTGACCTATGAAACACTATAATTTTTTATACAAAAGAATATATTACTGTTTTATTAGTTAACAACAAAATAAGAACAAAGTGATTTTGTAGAAAACCTAATTAATAATAAATCACAAATATTTAATCTATATTAATTTAAATATCTTTTATTCAATAATTTCTACTCTATTATTAGAAATGCCAAATGGTAATGGTCATAAATCATATGGGACTTTTAATCATATATAAAAGTGTTTTCATTAGAACATAACTAAAAATATATTATACACATTTAATCAAAATTATTTCAATATTTCATATCCAACAATGATTACTTTGATCAGGAATGCTAAATGCTTCTCAACCAAACAAGGTGGACCCCAATGAAAATCCTTATTGTACAAAATATCCATACATCAAAGACCCAGTTGGCATATGTACTAAACCAAATTCTGACGTGTTGTGCAAAACGTCTTGCGAAAGTAATAATTATCCTAATGGCAAATGTCTAATACGTCCACAAAGAAGTCCAAAGAAGCAGTGCTACTGTTGGATACTTGAACCTAATGGAGCTCACTGTAAGTAATGAATTTGGTAGAAAATGACACTAATAAATCTTATAGTAAATTTTATTCAATCGATGACTAATATCGATAAATATGTTTTTCTTTTTGTTTTGTGTGTGTGTTTTTTTTTACATATTTGTAATAAAGAATGAAATAATTATTTACTCATAAAGATTGACTATAATAATTGATTTTCATTTTTGATATTTATATAATTTAGGATAACATTCTTTTTAGTATAAAATAACATTCTCGTCATATTACATAATAATCAGATGATTGATTAAAATTCAAAAATTAAGTCATTTAAATAAAAAATTAGAGAAATAACAAAGAAAAAAAAAGAAAACGGCAAATGTTTAGCAATAATTAATTTCAACGAGTAAATAATCAACTTGGAAAATTGTAACATAAGAAAATGTCTTACATGAACTTATAAAATTGTGGATTTTAATTATTTCAATTTACTTTGAATGATTTTGAATTTAGATTCATTTTGATAAGATTTAACAGATTTTTTGTGACTTTTAGTAATTTTTTTTTAAAAAATTCACTAATTTATTTTTATATTGAGAATTATTTTAAAATAAATATCAGTAAATTTTATATAACAATACATATTAAAAATTATTATGATAAAACAACTAAAGACGAATAATACTCATGGTATACCCTAATTCATCAATTTCATGATGGTGATAAATATTTTTGGAGACAAATCAGTAAAAAAAATTTTCAACTTTTGAAGAGACAAGAACTTGTAAACAATTTCAAATTTAAAAGAGATTTGATTGATAATAAAAAAAACAAATATAAAGCTATCATCTCTATAGGAGAGATTTGTTAAATTACTTTACATTGCTAAAATCTTGGAATCAAATATTTGAAAAAAAAAAACAGATTTAATTTAATATTAGTGTGTGCACCGAAAAATAATTAATATTTTTTATAAAATTATTTAAAGTTCTTTTTTTATGAATTTAGTAGTTGATGATAAGAATTTCTTCTACTGCATGGCAATAAATATAAGTGAATATATGTATTTTAAATGTATATATTAAGTAAACATTTAAATACTTTTGATCAATAAATAATTAAAATCGAATAATGCCCTAAACAAAGATTTTTAAAATCCATAACTTTACCTTTTCCTATTATATTTTAAACTTGATTTAGATTTTAGAAATGGTTTCCTCTTCGTTGCCTTTCTTCTACTTGATATGATTGTCCTTGTGTGTTATTTTCATAAAGAATTTCATGATCAAAGCATTGGTTGATATCTACACACTTTTCAAGGTAACACTTTCTTAATGCCACTCCATCGTAACAAAAAGAGGTGTAGAAGTGGATATCTATAATACGTAAGACAAAATATAATGTTTTCTGAAAAATAGATATATTCACATAGATAATTATGTAATATGTTAGAATGTAACTTGCTTATGAAATATAATTATGAATGAAGATAGTTGAACTTACTTGTCACATCAATATCGAACTATACAATCTATGATAGAAAAAACTTTTTCTTCACCATATTAATATCGATTGTTCTATGTTATAGTTTATCTTTATCTTCCTGGTTAATGTTCAATTAATTAAAAAAAAGATGGAGATCGTGGTTGAAGATAATAACTGTATTAGTAATAAACGAGCAGTTACTACTTTTAAATCATTCTCTAATTTTTTTTATTAAAGCAGAAATTTTGATAAAAAAAAGTAATAAATTTGTGAAAAACACTTGTTATTCTTAAAATTACTGCCTGACTTGTGCTTTATAAGTATAAAGATTAGTTGAAAAGAATTTTATATCCAATATAACATGAAATTTTAGAAAACATAAAACAATTCCACATCCAATAAGGGTGGCTTTTAGAAAAAAAGATTAATGTAAGTAAGCTCCCTTAATCCATAAAAACCAAACAAAAAAAACCTTACAAAAGGATAAAAAAAAGTCTTTTATCACTGCTTATTCTTTCAAAGTGTTCTAATGCAGCATAAGATATCCGACACAATCATCATGTCGTTACATTAACGACCTTCAATCAACGAGTTGGTTACTTCGGGCACGGTCCATGTTCCTTGGTTTGGCTGATTTGTTGATGAGGAACCAATCTCAAACCGACTTCTTAAGACGCAAAAACCGGGAGGTCTGGGCTGATCCATCTGTGTTCTCTCGCTTGTGAGCATCAAAATCACAGACGACATCGCCGGTCTGTCCTCTGCAGAATCTTGAACACACAAGAGACCAATCTGTACGCACCTTAGAACCTCCTCTGGCGTTGATGACGAGTCTACGATAACCGGATCTACCATCTCCAGGCCTTTTCCTTCCTTCCAGTTCCTCCACATCTGTTTTCCAAAACAAACGCAGCTTTTATATTGAAAGCGTTTATCAATCACACACAAAGAATCTGGTTGGTCAAACTCACATAGTCTAGAAGGCTTTCCTCGTTCGTGTGGAAGAAATCAGAGTTTTTCTTTCCAGAGATAATCTCAAGAACCAAGACTCCAAAGCTGAAAACATCCGACTTTACCGAGTATATCCTGTCTATCGCGTTTTCCGGAGACATATATCCGCTGCGTATAACATATAACGGAACAGCTGTTGTTAGTCTTGTCCAGAGTTAGTACTACTCTAAATGACTATGGTTGGTGTTTCGATTGCTTACTAAGTCCCAACCATCGTGGATGCACTAGCCTCTGTCTCGTCGTTTCCAAAGAGCCTGGACATCCCGAAATCAGCGATCTTTGGGACCATGTCTTTGTCCAGTAGGATGTTGCTAGGTTTCAAATCCCTATGGATGATCAGACTCCGAGAGTCTTGGTGAAGATATAAGAGCCCCCGAGCAATACCATTGATTATTTGGAGTCGCTTCTCCCAATTCAGCAGATAGCTCTTGGTTTTGTCTATGAAAAACCAAAATGAACTTTTAGTGTCGATTTTCCAATAACAATCATTTCAACTAACAACTTGGCAGTAACCGAAAATATAGGTATCGAGGCTTGAGTTTTCCAGGAACTCAAAGACTATAAGCATTTCATCACCCTCAAAGCAATAACCAAGAACCTGGACAAGGTTAATATGTTGAACACTCGTGATCAGTTGCACCTCATTGGTGAACCCTTGGATCCCTCGAGCTGAACTTTTCAACAGTCTCTTAACTGCGATTGCTTGTCCGTCAAGTAACGTCCCCTGTTACCAGTTACGTACGTATTTGATACGTTTACAAGGAGTCTAAGTAACACGATGGTGGTAAAACAAGATTAATGTATTTTTTTTAGAGAGGTGATGAATACCTTGTAAACAATACCAAAACCACCTTGTCCGATCTTGTTAGCGTCAGAAAAGTTTCCCGTCGCCGTGACAACCGTTGCTAGCTCCATCGGTGCACATTGTAGGACCCCTATTTATGATCATTGAGGTTTTTTTCTTGAAAGAAATACTAATTCAAAAGAAAGACAAAGATTATAGAAAGGTTATCACAAGAATACCGATAGGTGCTGCTTCAGCCGCTCTCGTTGGCCTCTTCTTTCTTTTCCAACAGCAGACCAATACGACAGTGACGAAACCCACAAGAAGAAGCACAACACCGACTCCAATAATCAGCACTAAGACTATTGTACTCATTTTAGTATGTTTCGTTGCCTCTGCTGCCGCTGAAGAAGACACAAACAAACAAGTGCACAAGTCAAAAGTCAAAAGTCTCGATACAGGGTTTTTTAAATAACAAGAGAGGAAAGTCAAGAAACAAACCTGCATCAGCGGCTTCCAGTCTGACATAAAGATCTTGGCCGGCAAAGTTGTTCTTGCGGAGATCGAGGAGCCCTCCGACCCAAATCACACAGCCTGATCCGCCATTTTGCATATCAGTGTTTGCATACGCTGTACAATTGCAGTTCCCAAGACACTTGTCCCTGCATTCCTTCAGCCTAATTCTTCTGTCCACAATAGACTCTGAGGCATCTGGCAACTTCATTTCGATAAGCCTCACAAACCTATCTCCGAAGCAGTTCAACGGTGTCTTCCGCACACACCCACCTGTCCAGTCGTGAAAGCCCCATGATTCCTCGTCCCTCGGCTGAAATCCGGTGACGCAGCGGCAATTTGGTGAATTGTCTCTGTCACAGAGTGCATTAGCCCCGCACAAATTGTACCCTCCACACGCGTCATCTGGAAACGTTCGCACTTTCAGTTTTCGCGCTTGAAGCCACGTGGATCGCTTCAACTGGCCGTTATTATCAATCCTCAAAATAGAAAAGAAGGAGTGATTGGTGATACGGAAGACGTAGGAGACTTCCTGACTTGTTACACTAAGGTTATACCGGACGTAAGTCAGATTGTCACTTCCTTCCTCTGCGTCATTCTTCGTGTTCCATGGATCGCTTCTAAATCTTGCCACACCTCCTTCTCGAATGAAGCTCTGGGCGAGCCCATGAAGTTCAACCCCGTAAGTGTACTTCCCCGATGAAGGATCCATAGAGCTTTTCCAAGATGTCAAGACTCTATCTATGTTCGATTGCGCATCCCACCCCAGCTTCATCCCAGAGACTAATGAATTTGTCGGAAAATCGAAGCTCTGCCACAAAAACCCGGCTGCTGAGTCGTTGTTGGAGTATCTCAACACTAAATTTCCATTGTCGAGAAGCTCTCCTATCACTAGCGATTTCATGGGATTTATGCTACTCCCGTTGGTCCACCAGACACGTGTACCGTGTTGATCAAGGAGGACGAGGTTGGTATCCATGATCTTTAGGGTTCCGATGGGCTCCGAGAGTGGGCTGTCTCTGTTCGCGACCCATACAATTTCCTCCGGGAACATGCTGTTCCAAACGCCGAGATACCAACGAGTTGAGGAGGATTTAAACAGCCCAAAAACGAACTCTTTTTGAGGGGAGAAAATGAATTTTCCTCTATTTATATTAAAAGTTGAAAATTTGGAATCATATTTTGAGGAAAACAGAAGCACTGTGATGAAGAAAAAATGTAATTTCATCTCTCTGTTTGTTCTTCTAAATTTGTTTGTTTTAGCTTCGGCTTTTATATCTTCTCTCTAGACTAACTTCACTCGACAATAAAATTTTAAATTTCCACACTGCTTGACTTTTAAGACTTGTGTAAACTAATTTCATCATAAATGTTAGAAAAACAACATGTGAAATTACTTTCTCTGGGGCAAAACATAACATATTACAACAAAAAAAGACCTCGTTGAAACTAACAATCTATTTTCTCTAACATGTCAAATGCTTGAAACAATATATATATATTCAATAGGCTGAATATATATATATAGAACTTGCTACGTTATCAGTTGAAAGCAATAAAAGCGTTAACTTTTATTGTTGTATACTAATAATATACCAATTGGCTTATGTGCTAAAAAATAAAAAGATTTGAGTTCGTATGTACTAACCGGTTCTTCTTGGAATTGCGACGAAGAAACTTTTGAAGCAGTTGGAACCAGATTCTTGGTGATTGCGTCTCTTAGTGCACAAAAAAAGAAGAACATGTATTGTCTCAAATGAAATGAATTGATATATTGCTGTGTTAAACAGCAAAACATGGTGGTGGTTTCACTTAGTAACGAGTACTTACTTTGGTCCCTCGTAGTGGAATACGATGGTGCCATTCTCGCCTATTGTGACCGCTCCCTTGCGTAAAGTGCCGCCATTACCGCACTTGGGACAGAAGTCTCTTCCTAGTTCAGGAGTTAATGTGTAGCAAGCATGGCATTGCAAAATCCACCTGGAGATCCAAATGTGATAAAGCGTGAGACATCTTTTTCATGCTAAAGAATTTTGGAGGAATCAAAAGGAAGATCCGATTCATTAAGCGTACGTCTTTAGTTGGCGGATCTGCATACCACCGGGTGCAAGCAAACGCAAACCCATTTGAAAAATAACATTTTGCATCGCATAGTCACCGGTTGTACAAGCTACACTGGACTCAGATAAGGCTCTCAACGACCAGCTCTGCTTGCTGCTACCATCATCCGCCATCGATGGTGCCTCAAAGGTATCCGGTATCCCCAGCCTCACTAGCAACATCGATCCCCTCAGCTTCCACTTCAATATTATGATCGGTATCATCCTCACCATTGCTCAAAGTTGCTTCAGCATTCGTCTTGGAGAGCCTTTGATGAATCTTCCTCCAACCTCATATCTTTTAAGATGGACAAAAGCTCCTCATCACCATTTCGATTATCCTTTGCACACTTTTCATCAGCGTCTTTAGAGACCTGATCAAGTTACCAGCTTTGTCAGCTTCTTTCTTCCTCAACATTGAAATGTTCTTTCTCCTAAATAATTCTCTGCTACTCATCTTCATCATCGTATTCGTCCTGGGATGCATCTATTCCTTCCACTACCATCTTACCCTCAAGCTTATGGTAGTTTGAGTTTGATCAATATCAGAGAGAGTTCTGCAAATCACCAGTAGCTCTAGCAAATTTAATAACTGCAGAAAACAAAAACAGAAAAAAGCAGCCCAATGTCAGAGATACAAAGATAATCTGTCTTCACCACAACATATAAGCATAAGCTTCTTCATGACATTTCACGGAAGCTGCTATATAGAACTTCACCATCAAAATTCAAACTGACGAGCTCAAAAGCTTAGTTACGAGGATCAAAAACTTGATTATGTACCTTTACTGAGAAATTCAGGAGAAGGTTCCATGGTTTCGATAGTCAAGGGGATGAGGGCGAAAAGCAGGGCCTCGAATATCGGAGAGTACTTCAGGGACGGTTACGACTTTTTCGGCAAATTTGGTCAACCTCTAGCCTCCTTCAACGACGGCGTTGCCGTCAATAACCGCCACAGATATCCCCTTTGTGGATTTGCAGCTTCCAACCATTCCGAGAATCGCTACCGGAGCTCCATTGGAGCTCGGAGGATCTTTATTCACTATGGAACTCCATTAAGAGGATGGATTCAGATCCATGGTTCATGATGGAGTTTCGTTATTTCCTTTGCTGCTTCAACGGAGACGAGATACAGTAAAGAGAAGGAGGAGGAGAGGAAGAGGATTAGGACGTAGTTCCGATTGAAAACCACGTCGTTTTGTTCCCTTTTTTAAATTGGCCACACTGGGCCCAACAAATGGATATATATAAATAATATTTAATAATTAATATCGATCTCTGTCATTTATATATATATATATATATTTGTATTAATTCCATTTTTTTTTTGTGTATTGCTTCAATTTCCTCTAGAAAAGTGTTAATCATTATGGAAAAGTTAAGTTTACATAATATAGATGATAAAGGTGATCACAAGCACTTTGTGCTAACTTGTTTGTCTTCGTGTTTTACTTTCGAAGTATTTTTGAAATTAAGAAAAACTCAAATTTCTGTCTTGATATTTCAAACTCTTTTAGATATAGGGCGAATGCTGGCCATCCTTTTAGATCAGTTACCATCTTCAATATTTTCGAACTATCAGTTAAGAAAACCACATTTTTTCTTTTATCAAGCATACAGTACATTGCCTATATTAAAATTTCTAATTTTAAATATAAAAGTGTTAAACTCCAGTTTAGTTTGGCATTTCCCTTAAACTATTGTATTGTTTATTACTTTTGATATTTTTAGTTTTGATCTGTAGTATTTTATCTGGTCAGGTGATTGCATTTTATTCTATCAAAAGATATCAAATAATTTGTTTTTAATATTTATATTTTCTAATCAAATTTTTAAGAATTAAGGAAAAGTAATTTTTTATAATTAAAATGTTTAAAAATAGAGAAGACCAAGTCATGGAGTTTCTATTCTTTTTCCATTTTTTCAATTATTATTTTATTAGGAATTTTAAATGCTTCTCGGCCAAGTAAAATGAACCCTCGTGAAAATATATATTGTACAAAATATCCAAGCAAAAAGGATCCAGCGGCACCTGTACTAAACCAAATGCTGACAAGTTATGTTTAGCGTCTTGTGATGGTTATCCTAATGCCAAATGTCTAGTACGTCCACAGAGAAGTCCAAAGTTATTGTGCTATTGCTGGTATGAGGAATCTAATGGATCTGCTGTGGGTAAATAATGAATTTTATGGAAAATGCCACTAATGAATCGATAACTTAATATCAATAAATGTTTTTTTTTCTTTTTTGATGCATGTAATAATGAATAAAGTAATAAGCTGCTTACTCTTCTCACTAATAAAAGATTATCTCAATTAGTTGATTTAAAATTTCAGATTCTAAGAGCATATGTATTAGAGAGCTATTGAAAAAGCTTTAAAATTTTTTTTAAAAAAATTTGATTTTCAGAAAAAAAAAATCGATGAATCATGTTTCGCCACGTCAACGAAACTCTACAGTCTCTGCGCAAAAAAAACACATCTGTGCTTTAGTCTCGCCACGTCATTAACAAAAATATTTTTTTTAAAGAATTTATATAAATCTCTCTATGACAGATGTCCTAACTACATCTCTTCTTATTTGAAAATTCTACAATACTACTATAGTATAGAAGAGCTTTGTTTTTTAGCATAAAAAATAATCAGATGATTAATTAAAATTCATAAATAATTTAATCTAAATCAAAAATTGGAGAAATAAAAAAAAGATATAGATAAATGTCCATCATTAATAATTTAGAGTCACTTCTCCTAATTAAACTGGTATTTATCTATAAATTTACCTCTAATTTTCAGAAAATGCAAATCAACCATCAATATCTTATTCAATCTGCAATATAATCTTTATTGTACATAGATTTTAAAATTTATATATAGTTGTGTACAAATTATAAAATAAACATCATTTTAAATGTATATAATAATTAATGAAGTAATCGGCTGTTTGGCTTCTATACTAATAAAGATCGTCTCCCTTATTTGATTTTCATTTTTTTATTTTATGATAGGCTTTAAGTTTGACATAAATAAAACTACTGTAAGTAAAGTATTTGTAATATAAAATATATCGAATAAGGTATACCATACTAGTTGTACCAGAGAAGATAAGCCATATAGAAATTGACTTGGAGCTAAACAAGCTTGTAGATAAAGAGCAAAAGAGACATGTAGCTGTTTTCAAAAGAGATGAGGACTTAACATCAATACACTGTCGTTATATACACCAAGGGGAACCTTATGACCGAGCCAAGCATGTAATGGTTCAGTTTAATCTGCAAGAAAACCAAGACAAACCATCAAAACCGTATATACACATAAATGGAGCAACAAGTGTATATTTAGAGTCATCTATGGAAATGTGTCAAGCAATGACATAGTATTCGACCAATCTCACATCCCCAGAAGCTACTAAGAAGACTAAACCACATTTAGTTCAATTCAAATTATCACTTACCCAATAAGATCCAACCAAATGCATATATGGACCTACATGCAAGTATATGGAGCCATTCAAGGAAACAAGGAGTATAGCTTATACCAACATTTCATTCATGCCTCCTTTAAGGTTTACAGAGTATACTAAAGTCCTAAACCACTTGATCAAGCCAATAACCAAGCCAAATCATTACAAACCAAAGAAGATTTCAACATAAAGTAACTTTCCTTTCTTGAAGATAATTTCAGTACTTTCAAAGGAAAGCCAGACCAAGACCAAAGACCACTTTTATGTGAAGATCTCGTCCCCACATTCAATTCACAAGATCCTGAACGTTCACACAAGATAGAAGAGCCAAAGATCCAGTCTCATTTCATCACCACCAATCAAGCTAGTGTTCCCTATTATGAAATGACTAGTCTTTTTATTTACACCAAATTTTATGCTTTTCTTTTATGTTTATGACTGTTTTATGTCTTCCATTTGAACATTATATAAAGCTCAACGCCTTTGTATTTTAAGACCACGAAATTTATTAATGAAAAAGTATTTTATTTGTTTCAAAGAGAGAATTCTTTTGAAGACAATTATTCTAGCAAATTAAAAACTTTGTGGAATCAGAGAGTATAATTTGTGGAGAGTCTTAATAACCTTGTGAGGTTATTAAGAGTCTCAAATCGTTGTCTGTGGATTCAGCCAACAAACTGGTTAACAAATCATCAACCATTCATCCATCTATCTAAGCCTGAAGGTCAGAATCAAGGGAGTATACTTGAAGACCTGCATGGGTCACCAAAATGATATAGGCACAAGGGGGAGCTTGACCGGTGAAGGGGGTGGAAGAGCAATCTCCAACTGGCCATGCAGCTATCTTTGAAGGTTTAGTAGAAGTGAGATGGTGGGTTGACTGACTCACTTAGTCGGTGGGATGACTGACTCACTTAACCGTTGGAATTAGCCTTGCTTGAATCACACAAACAATTCTATTCCAAGAATCGATAGAAACAAATGAATCTCTCAGATGATTCTAAAGACAAGAATAAACAAAGCCAAAGCTTTTAGAGAAAATTTCTCTTTTAAATTTCAAAAATTTATATATCTTTTACAATGAGAACAATGAGAAACAATGAGATTTTATAGCTTTTACAAAAGATATTTACAAATAAATACACTTAAATGAAATTATTTATATTTAAACAAAACAAGAAAAATAAGCTAAATCAAATAAAAGTCTTCTTGGTACCTAATCCTTTTTAGACTTGAATGAGAATCTTTTGATTTGTGAAATGATGAAGACAAAATTCTTATAATAATATCACATAATGAAGACATTTGATTTAGTGTTTTTCCATATTGTATCATTCTCTTCCTCTTCAAATGGTTTTGTCCTCAAAACTGATTTTTTTTATAAACTTTTTAGCAAATATTATTTATAAAATAAATAAACTTTTTCATTTTATAATTTTTTAAACAGAAAAAAAAATCCAAAATAGACAAAAACATAAATAGAAATAGCTTTTTTTTGTTTTTTTAATGAAAGAAACAAACTTCAATTGAATTTTTTTTACGGGTTTTATGTTTTTAATAAAAAAGCATAAATCAAAGAACAAAAACATAAAACTTTTTCTGATTTTTTTAGTTTTATAAAAATTAAAGAATGAAAACAACCAAATTTTTGTTTTTAATGGAAATCTTGATAAAGCATGAAATAAAAACAAAACAGAAATAAAAAAGATAGAGGATAGGAGTTTTTAGCTCTGATACCAAATGATATAAGATCAAGAGGGAGCTTGACAGGTGAAGGGGGTGGAAGAACAATCTCCAACTGGCCGTGCGGCTCTCTTTGAAGGTTTGGTAGAAGTGAGATGGTGGGTTGACTGACTCGCTCAGTCGATGGGATGGCTGACTCACTCAGCCGTTAGAACTAGCTTTGCTTGAATCACACAAACAATTTTGTTCCAAGAATCGATAGAAACAAATGAATCCTTCAGATGACTCTAAAGACAAGAATAAATAAAGCCAAAACTTTTAGAGAAAAATGTCTTTTGATTTCCAAGAATTTATATATCTTTTTACAATGAGAACAATGAGAATAATAAGATTTTATAGCTCTTATAAAAGATTTTTACAAATAAATATAGTTAAATGAAATTATGTACACTTAAGAAAAAGGAAAAAAATAAGCTAAATCAAATAAAAGTCTTTTTGGTACATATTTTTCTTTAGACTTAAATGAGAATCTTTTGATTTGTGAAATGATGAAGACCAAATTCTTATAATAATACCACATAATGAAGACATTTGATTTAGTGTTTTTTCATACTGTATCATCGAATCTCAAGAGACTTAAATTGTTACACAGCAGATTTTAGATTTGAACTAAGCTAAGGAATTTAAATAATATGTAAAACAAATAAACTTTAAAAAAAAGCAACAAGTTCGATTTCAGTGGCTGGGAAAGAATTCAACAGAAACATTATTAGCATTGCAGAGGCAATAAACTGATATGAGGTTTTTATGAAGGTTACCTATGCAGCGCATCTTACAATCTCAACCATCGGATTTACTGCTTCTTTGTTTTCGGTTTTAACGGCTTCACTTCTTCTTTCTTTTCGGTTTTATCTTTGGAGTTATTAGAGTTTATCTTATTAAGGTGGGATTTCTTTTAAGATTAGGATAAACATTAGAAAGTCTTCTCTTCTATTTAAACGAATTGAAGTTGTAATGGAGACTCAATTTTTGTTGAATAAATCAAACCACTTT